CCTCTCTCTCTCCTATGCACTCATTGGTTTATCACGAGTTTCTGGCCCTTGGAATGTTGAGGCAGGACGCTGACACTCTAACCTTCTTGACCTTCCCGTCGCAACGACGACACTCAGCACGCGCCGCTTGCGCGCTGCCGGTGAATTTTCCCGTTGAACCTATGTGGACGCGTGCTGCCCCCTAGTACCATAGTGTCCACATTTTTCCATAACAACAAGACGCGACAACGAAATCGAACCAGTACCAGTGGTATTAAACCAGTACAGCAACAGTGCAGCTAGATACTGCTAGCGCATTCAATTTGTTTACCATCAGCACACTATCAAAAAAATGTAAAGAGCTGTAAAGAAGCAAATTATGAATGGAAACAGCTGTACAAGAAAATGTAAAAAGTCACCAGCACAAAGCAAAACTTGCGAAAAAATGCTGAAGTACAAAAATAAATCCAGAATCAGAAAATGTCAACGTAAGCAGAATCATTCCATTGATAAAAACGAGATAAACTAGTAAGGATTAAGACTAGAAACGTATTCGAAAAAACACTTGCGCGTTCTGCAAATCCACAATAGAGTTTAGTTCAGCAGATTCGAGTAACGATCTCGCAGACAAACTAGCGATTTGCTATCTAGTTGACTTGAATACTGCAGCATTGCCATACTGAACAAGTTAGGTTCTGGTGCAAATGCCGCTCACGTGAGACCACTTACAACGCCTCGTTGGCCTTCCTTGCCGTTGCCCGGACGTACTAAACTAATACAATGTTGGTTTGATACACTGTTTTGGGTCTCAATTTTTTGTAACTAGACAGCCGATAATAAATATTCGAAACATTAAACTACAGCCCAAAACACAATAAGCTCCTGAAATTACCACATCTTCAACGTGAAAATAGTACTCACATACACTCCACATCCCGGAGATGGATGGGGCGTGTCTGCGCACGTTATGTGAGCACGGCGTGGAATGCTTTTCCCGCAAAAAATTCACATTTGAGCAAACTGCATCCTGTTTTGTACTGCAGTTGTCCCAAAACTTGGCTATCCTATCAGAAGCGCCGCCGCGGCCACGTTCAAACGAAGTGCGCGGCCACGCCTTGCCCATTTTTCCTATATGGAGTAGTAATTCTTTCATTTTGGTTTTAAACTGATTCAAAAGAGTATCTAGCCTCTAGAGTCTCTAAATAGCAAGCGACAGTAATGAAATATTTAAGCAATTATGATTTAAAAGAAGGTAAAAATAGCTGTACAACGAATTATGTTATTGAGGTGCAGAAAATGTGAGATTTCATAAATAAACTCGTATTCAAAGACTAGAAAGATAGCGTGGTTTTGATCGCTCGCACAGGCTGATCAACTAATCGCTGTCGGATGCCTGCTGCTCATCTGGAACGTCCTTTAAAAGTTCCAGCACATGGCCCACTGCCTTTGGGCGGCCATCTTCGCCAATAGTACCGGGTTTCACAACACCTGAAATTTCAATAATCTCAGCACGACATGGTAAGGACCGGAAAATACACTCTAGTTCGCTGCGGACGATTGGGCGTGTTAGCCAGTATGAGTGTCACCAGTTGAGGCCGTTCTCTGCCTTCTTGTTGAAATGCGCATGCGACAAAAAGTGGTAGAAAACGAGTAATACGAAGGATATGATACAGTATTGTCACTTGCCCGCTTCAACAACTGGTGGAGAACGAGTTTGGCACCGCGCCAAACGCAGCCGCACTGACACGCCCAACCGTCCGCAGAGAACCACACTATAAGCACTTTTATCTCGCCTCTATACTGTGCAACCTGAAGGGCACACGAGTTGGGAGAAAACGTCAACCGGCGGAACGCGAGTCGCGAGGCGGAGTCGCGCATAATCCCATTCCCGAACTTTTCCCTCAATGGCCTAGAAGAACTCAGCGAGGTACTCTACATATAAAACCTAGAAAGGAGTAGGGCCCAAAAAGTTACTGAGATGTGCTGCGAAAGGCCAGAGAAAGATACAGTCCTAGTTTAGGTACTAAACAGGACA